GGTCAGTGGGTGTGGTCAGGGGTCAGTGGGTGTGGTCAGGGGTCAGTGGGTGTGGTCAGTGGGTGTGGTCAGGGGGTCAGTGGGTGTGGCCAGAGGGGTGTGGTCAGTGGTCAGTGGGTGTGGTCAGTGGGGGGAGGGGCCGGTCCCAGGTGTGGCCACCAGGGGGGCGTGGCTAAAATGGGCGTGGTCATCGTGTGGGTGTGGCCAAGGAGGGACGGGGTCATTCATGACCTTTGACCCCTGTCCGTGGTCACTCCCTGGCTGTGGTCACTCTGACCCCGCTGCCCCTTGGTGGTCACTCTGACCGCTGACCGCTCCGGCCGCAGGTGGTCACTGACCCCTGTCCCATCGCTGTGGTCACTCTGACCCCGCTGACCACAGGTGGTCAGTGACCCGTGGCCGTCCCTGTGGTCACTCTGACCACTGACCACAGGTGGTCACTGACCCCTGTCCCATCCCTGTGGTCACTCTGACCCCGCTGACCGCTGCCCCTGGCCCATCGCTGTGGTCACTCTGACCCCGCTGACCACAGGTGGTCACTGACCCCTGTCCTATCGCTGTGGTCACTCTGACCGCTGACCGCAGGTGGTCACTGACCCCTGGCCGTCTCTGTGGTCACTCTGACCCCCGGCCATCCCTGTGGTCACTCTGACCGCTGACCGCAGGTGGTCACTGACCCCTGGCTGTCGCTGTGGTCACTCTGACCCCACTGCCCCTGTCCCATCGCTGTGGTCACTCTGACCCCCGGCCATCCCTGTGGTCACTCTGCCCGCACTGACCGCTGACCGCTGGCCGCAGGTGGTGGACATCATGCGGGTGAACGTGGACAAGGTGCTGGAGCGGGACCAGAAGCTGTCCGAGCTGGACGACCGGGCGGACGCGCTCCAGGCCGGCGCCTCCCAGTTCGAGACCAGCGCGGCCAAGCTCAAGCGCAAGTACTGGTGGAAGAACCTCAAGGTGGGCAATGACCCAAAATCCCCAGAAATAGACCCAAAATAGACCCAAAATAGGCCCAAAATGGGCTGAAATGGCCCCAGAATAGCCCAGAATGGCTCCAAATAGCCCCAAAATGGTCCCAAATGGCCCCAAAATGGCCCCAAATAGCCCAAAAATGGCCCAAAATGGCGCCAGGCTCAAGCGCAAGCACTGGTGGAAGAACCTCAAGGTGGGCAATGACCCAAAATAGACCCAAAATGGGCCCAAAATGGGCTGAAATAGCCCCAAAATGGTCCCAAATGGCCCCAAAATGGCCCAAAATGGCCCCAAATAGCCCCAAATGGCCCCAAATGGCCCCAAAATGGCCCCAAATAGCCCAAAAATGGCCCAAAATGGCGCCAGGCTCAAGCGCAAGTACTGGTGGAAGAACCTCAAGGTGGGCAATGACCCAAAATCGACAGAAATAGACCCAAAATAGGCCCAAAATGGGCTGAAATGTCCCCAAATAGCCCCAAAATAGTCCCAAATGGCCCCAAAATGGCCCCAAAATGGCCCAAAATGGCCCAAAATGGCCCCAAATGTCCCCAAGATTGAGCACAAGTACTGGTGGAAGAACCTCAAGGTGGGCAATGACCCAAAATCGACAGAAATAGACCCAAAATAGACCCAAAATGCCCGAAAATAGACCCAAAATGGGCTGAAATGGCCCCAAATAGCCCCAAAATGGCCCCAAATAGCCCCAAAATGGCCCAAAATGGCCCAAAATGGCCCCAAATAGCCAAAAAATGGCCCAAAATGGCGCCAGGCTCAAGCGCAAGCACTGGTGGAAGAACCTCAAGGTGGGCAATGACCCAAAATCAACAGAAATAGACCCAAAATAGACCCAAAATAGACCCAAAATGGGCTGAAATGGCCCCAGAATAGCCCAGAATGGCCCCAAATAGCCCCAAAATGGCCCAAAATGGCCCCAAATAGCCCAAAATGCCCCCAAATGTCCCCAAGCTCAAGCGCAAGTACTGGTGGAAGAACCTCAAGGTGGGCAATGACCCAAAACCAACAGAAATAGACCCAAAATGGTCTGAAATTACATAAAAATTCCATTAAATTCTCCCCAAATCCCCAGAATTCTTCAGGAAATTCCCAAAATTCCCCAGACAACCCCAAAATCCCGACCCCACAGAGTTCTCCCACTCTTGAAAGGGGAAAGGACACAAAAAATTCCCAAAAAATGCCCCCAAAAAAAATCCCTGAAAATGCCCGAGAAACCACCCTAAAAATCCCTGAAATTCTCCCAAAATACCCAAAATTCCTCAGAATCTTCCCAAAATTCCCAAAAAAACCCAAAATCCCGACCCCATGGGGTTCCCTGTCTTGAGAGGGGAAAGGACCCCAAAAATCCCTGATAATGCCCCCCAAAACCACCCCAAAATTCCCTAAAAATGCCCCAAAAAACCACCCCAAAATCACTGAAAATGCCAAAAAAATCAGCCCAAAATGAACTAAAAATGCCCCGAAATCCACCCCAAAAATCCTGAAAAATGCCCAAAAATCACCCCAAAATCCCTGAAAATGCCCAAGAAACCAGCCCAAAATTCACTAAAAATGCCCCAAAAATCAGCCCAAGAATCTCGAAAAATGCCCAAAAATCCAGCCCAAAAATTCCCTAAAAATGCTCCAAAACCAACCCAAAAATCATGAAAAATGCACCAAAAATCAGCCCAAAATCCCTGAAATTCAACCCAAACCCCAAAAATTCCTCAGAAAATCTTCAAAATTCCCCAAAATCCCCCAAAATTCCCCAAATCCCCCAAATTGCCCATCTCCACAGATGATGATCATCCTGGGCGTCATCTGCGCCATCGTCCTCATCATCATCATCGGTGAGCGGCTGCTTATGCAAATGAGATGCAAATGAGGGAGCACGCATGCAAATGGGAGATGGGCACGGTGTGGGGGAAGATGGGTGGGGCATGCAAATGAGGGGCGGGGTATGCAAATGAAGGGAGGGGCATGCAAATGAGGCTCAGTGGTGTAACGAAGGGGTGCGTAGGTATGCAAATGAGGGTTGGGTTATGTAAATGAGGCGATGGGGTTAAGGAAAGGGAAGTTTTTGGGTTATGCAAATGAGGGCGCTGGGTATGCAGAGAAGGGGAATGGAATGCAAATGAATGGTTTTAGATATGCAAATAAGGCCTGGAGATGCAAATAGGGGTGAGGGATTCAAATGAGGGGCGGGGCATAATTGGGGGTTATGCAAATTATCAGCACATGCTAATGAGAAACCGGCATGCAAATTAGTGCGAACGAGGGTCTCTTATGCAAATGAGGGCTGGAATAGAGTGGGTGGAGCCATGTAAATACAACAGTAATTTATGTGAACCAAATGCAAATTATATGCAAATTAGATAGGAGACTCCATGCATTCAACCAAGGGAGTGCGGGGACCTGTGGGTATGCAAATGAGGGGGCGGAGCATGTAAATATGGGGCTGCATGCATGCAAATGAGGGGGGTGGGGACATGCAAATGAGGGGACGGAATGCTAATCGTATGCAAATGTTCTCAGTCTATTTCAGCACCTAACGCCGCCGGCCCCGCCAGGCCCCGCCCCCAACGCCGCGGGGGCGTGGCCACGCCCAGGCCCCTCCCCCTCCCCTCCCCCCAAATTTGG